CCCACACACCCACCCACCCTCTTTTAGTGAAGATGCCTCTTCTTCTCTGTAGATTTTCCAAATCAGCATGGTGCACAAAGCATCCGGCATTCACACAGGGTTGGGAAAGGGCCGCACCCCTAGGGGTGTGATGTAGACAACATACCCTATACCCTAGTGGCTACTTCCACGGCTCCAATAGGTCACACGGAAAATAAAGAGAAATCAATATTTTGTGTAGATTTTCCAGATTCATTTTGTGCAAAGTGCTTATAAAACTTTGATATTAAAGAATTAGTGTTATGAAACAGAGATTATCTTTTTGGTGGATTCCAACTTTATTTTACTGATATTCTAGGTTTAAGGCCACAATAATTTCCGAGGCGTTAGTCATGTATTTGTATTGAGATGACTGTTGTAGCCAAATGGTTACAATTTTTCTTTGCACCTGTTGCAGATATAAAATAAATTAGTAAAAATGTTCACTATACGAGAGTTTAAACTTTTAAATTAGATAGTTTACGCAGTTCAATGTGGTATTGTAAAAGGCAGAGGGTCCTCAAGTCTTCCCGTCATCGATGTACAAAATATTTTCATGTGCTTGACAAGGGGAAAAATTCAGGGTTGCATGTGATAATATTTTACCTATGTAAACGGTGTAATTTTTCGACCACTCTTATCAATATGTGGCTTTGCCACTGAGGACGAGGCTTCAACAGGCAACAAGCTGGACAAATGCAGCTTATGCCTGGACATAATCCTTATCAGGTGAGTGGCTTGTAAATTACCTTAACAGACCTAAGAGTGCAAAGGCTATAAACTTTTAGCACCTTATTCATTTTTATTCTTTCAGGATCCCCTTTTTGATTTTGGGTTCTTGGTTTCAGTTAGATGTATCAAACCTTTTAGTTAATCCTTAGCTATTTATTACCTAGGTTTCCTATTTATTGCTGATTTACGTTGGGTAGTCGATAGCTGGATTCAAGAGATATTTACAGTCTAAGACTTATTATTAGCAATTTATGTCTGTACTTTTCTAAGCTATTCTCAGAACAAGAATTCTAGGCTGCAACTTCAGCTTATGCTAGGGAACTGCAGCTTAAATCCTTTTCTATAAAAAGGACTAAAGGTGGCCGCTGGGTGTGAAGACAAGTAATTCCAGTGAGAATAAGACAAGTAACCCTAATGAGAGTACGTCAATGATGTCGTGTTTCGAGCTGATTTAGTGCTGGTACTTGTGATACTACTATGATTCCCAGCATATCACAAGCGGGAGGAGTTCTGGGTGATATGAAATATTCTTTTCCGGAAAAAAAGTTTGGTATCTATACATGTCGGCATGGGTGGATCTAGGCGGACGGAAGGGGGTTCGTCCAAACTCTCTTTGCCGAAAAATTATACTGTCTATATAGGGTTAAATTTGTTTTCCTGGCTATATAATATATGTTGCATCCCGTTGACACAAGCCAAAATCTTAGCTCAGTGGTCAGGGGGTTCAATTCCCACACAGTGCTGGAATTTTTCTTTATGCTATTTTGCACGGGATTTTAGTTAGTGTCTGCCTACATTCGTTCATTCTTCCTGTTGTTAATAAAATAAGGTCAGCTTAAGCACACGGTAACTCGTAGGTTTTAACCTGGCTACTGTAAAAAAATTTAAGGTCAAACATAAATTTTATTTTATGCGTATATATTATATGTTGAATTCCCTTGGCACAACCCAATAGCAATCCATATATTTTTCTTTTTGTGTGTTTGTATGTATTAGTTGTAGGAAAAATTAGTTAGTGCTTTGTTATGTTTTGGTTGAAAGTTTGTATCCAAACATCCTCCACATCAAGTATACTATTTTAATACTTTTAATTAATTCAGATTATTTATTTATTAGTTATTTCTGCAATCATCTTTAGTTCATTTTTTGTTTATTATATTATGATCTTCTTTTTTGTTTTTTTGCTTTATATTCCTTGAAATGCATTTTACTTTTTTCTTTTGAAAAAGATTACTTCAAAACAACGTACTTCCGTATTAGTTTTGATCCAACATATTTTTAGTTTAATTTTTTTACAGTAGTGTAGTTTAGGTTTAGATTTTTTAATTTTATTTTATGAAATCATTTGACGAAATATTCTGCTGTTCACTTCTTTAAAATCTTGAACCCCTTGCTCGGAATCCTGGATCCGCCACTGCATGTGGGCTTGCGTCAGCGGCACATAATAGAGTAATAAGAATGGGTCTGACTGAATTTGCTGACGATAACATCTTCTCATAGTTCTTTTGCTCTTCTTGTAGTTGTGATCGATTGCTGGGAATGTTAATGTATTTTTTAAGGTGGTGCTGGGAATTATTCAAGTTTTTGCCAAAACTGGGATAGTTATGCATAAGAGGGAGAAGCTTGGGAGTTTAAAATGCACATATTTAAGTAACTGTTTTTTTTTTTTTGAGGGCATTTTTATACTTGTGGTGTGAGATGGTTGGGTGGATGAATAATGAATTAGCTCGTCTTTGACTTTATGGATTGTATGAGCTACTGATGTAATCATGCTTCTTGCACCATCTTTTGTGCTTTTCACCACCTTTGTGGTACTCTTCTTATTGAAAGTATTTTACCATCTAAAAAGTTCTTTCAAGGTCATTTTATGAGCATGAATGCGGATTGCCCTACTTTTCTACGATTTTTACTCAATTAATTTAATCTGGTATATACAGTTTTGATTTGTTTCTTCTATATATAGGGGGTGGACCTGGGCAGTGGAGAGGGTTTGGGGGTAGGCGCTGTTATGTTCGTAGATGGGGAGACTTCAACTACCATTTGGAGTGGCTGTCTGGTTTAAGATCTTCTGACCAGATATGTGTAAACCATTGTGGCTTTCGCATGACCATCTCTGTCAACTAAAAGTGGGAGAGAGAAGGTTATTTTAGTGAGGTGCCTATTCAAACTGCCCAGTGCTTCGGGCTAGTGGTGGGAGTGCAACGTGTGCTGTATGATTAGACTGACGAGTTCTAACCATGCCAAATAACAAAAGCCTGATATTTAAGTGGAGAAGGGTAGAGAGGAGGGTCCACTGGGCACATATGTGTGTGTGTATATATATATATATATATATATTGCCTGCTCAAACTATCCTGTAAAGTGGAAAGACTTTTTACTGTAGAATGTATTTACGGGGGAAGCCAAGCGCCAAACGACACTTGTTTAAATAATTTCGCTCTTCCTGCTATAACTCAATTCATAAGATTGTCCATACTGAAACCTGAAACTCGAGGTCTGCCCATTTTTCTCTTCAAACCAGCTGTTTCTTTGCTTGTTTTTCTCATCCTATCTCCTGATACACTGCTCAAAAGCCAAGAAAGATAATGATATCGAAGGAATGCATCCTATTGTGCATGTGAAATGTTGAAACCTAAGGAGGACTAATNGGAAATACATCCTATTGTGGCATGTGAAATGTTGAAACCTAAGGAGGACTAATTTGATGAGCTTCTTCTATCCTGCATAAATTCTCTCTTTTTTCTTGGTACAACTTGTTACTACTTAATCTGTAGGATAATTTACTCTCTCTGTCTCGTAGCTGCGTATATGTTTTTAACTTTGCAAACTTGAAAATTTGCCTTTTGGGCTGTTGATTTGATGAATTCTCCAGTTATATGTCATTTCTTTTTTTTTCTCTTTACAGCAATCTGGAAATCCAAATACACCTGGAATGCACATGCAGTCAAACTTGGGTCTTCAATCTGGAATGCCTCCGCCATTGCCTCCACACAATCAAGGACATCAATAGGCCATTGCTTATAGTCTCTTTCGAGCTTTGTTCAAGTTGTTTGTTGAAAATCTCCTCTCTTCACTAGTTTGAATTTCATTGGAGACTATTAGATAGCATCTCTGTATTTTCTTACATGTATTTTTAGATAATTTACTTGGGTAAAATATTTTGAGCACTTTAACTTTACAAATTCTTTGTGATGCTTGAAGGCTTAACATTTCAAACTTTTGCAATGAAAGCTTTTCTGTAAGGTTTAATTGACAAACCATCAAATTGAAGGGCATAGTGAATCCTTTGTTTATATGGCTGTCCTATCTAAAAAATCTGGTTTAAGCAATGCTCCAGAGCTTTCTCCATTGTGACAAATCCGCCAACTCTATATTTTCTTAAAACTGTCCGTCATCAAAACTCTGCTCTTCATCTTCCACATTAAGTATGCAAGAGCCAAGGACGAAAGCGTAGCACTGCCTGTTAAAAAGAGAAGATTTTTACATGCTTGGTCCTTTTTTAAAAACTATTCTCATAAATGATAGTAGGCTTATTCCAAAAACAGCACTTTTAAAAAAAAAAAAAAATTTTTTTTAGCACTTTCACATTAATAACTCCATTAATGGGGTCCCTCTACATTAATACATTTTTTACTACATTTCCTTTTTCCTCTCTCTTCTATAATTTCTTTTTTCTCTTTTATAAATAACTCTTACCCAAATATATCAATGATTCTGAAAGAAGAATATCTCAAAAATAATTCTCTTAGAATATACTAGTACTTTTGTAAGAAGGTTACAACACAACAGCTACTAAGCCTCAGCCCAAACAAGTTGTCATAAATATGAATCATAGTCACTTGAGGAGAGGTGGTAGCATGATTTCTAAAGGAAATAAAAAGTGTTTCAATCAAACATACGCAAAATCCTAAGTAATTTTGGAGAGGTCAAACTTTCTGTAAAAGCAAATCCTTGATGATGGTTATCATATTGAGGCCATAACCCAAATGGTCCTTTGGATGTAGAAAATCCACACCCAAACTTAAGAGTTCGAGCATTTGTCCCGTAGAGTAGCACTTCGCCATCCTCAAACCTATATTTCGGTAGGCTTGAGTAAAACATATCATCTCGTATAGTATACAATTTAACCCAAGATTCCTTGACACCATAGTCTTTCATAACCCATATCCTAAAAATGCCTCCCACCCTCACATCAATACAAGAAAAATAACCAACACAAGAAGAATAACTGCAAAGCATTCCTCCCAATATTGAAACACCAGTTTCGACGAACCTATTGCAAGAACGACAAATCTGATCCGGCAACGGTATCTCTCCATATACCTCATTTGAAATATTAAATGAAACAATAGAACAATATACTGAAAGCCCAATCCAATGAAATGCCCCATGTACAAATGCCAAAGAGTCCATACCAGAGAACAAATTTTTAATGTTGCGAGGATAATCAATGTTTTGCCAGGATCCACTTTTGAGCGCAAGAACTTGGGTAGAATAAGGCTTATCCATGTCAATCTTAAGAATCTTGAAGCCATCGCTAGTCGAGTCGTATCCCAATCCGTAAATAGAATATGAGGGGTGTCTTGGTGGAAATTGTGGATTGGGAAGTATTATTGATTCTCCCGTGGAGGGATTCCATAGGAAAAGTTGCTCAACTTCATCGGGAACAAAGACGAGGATAAGAGACAAGCCATTGGAACAACACAAGATCTTACAATGCCTTGCTCTACAGTTTACAGGGAAATAAAGCTTTTCTACATCAACGGAGGATAAAGAAGAACGATAGAAGCACATCGTACCATCTTTGGGGCATGGTCGGCAAATCAGAAGTTTTTGGGAGTTGTGGTTATTCATGGCATGATTGAGATGCTTCCTCTTAAAGTAAGGATTGGAGATTAATGCCGCCCAAGATTTTGACACACACTTGCATTGATGAAGAGGCCGCATGGGTAACCTGATGAGGATTTGTATAATTATTTCGTCATGGAAGTGAATTCCAGTGGCCTATAGGACAAAGCAAGTGCTTTAGTAGTTCACAGGTTGAAGACATTAGTCTTTCGGACACATTATTATAAAGAACAAATGTTAAAGAAGAATGCTACCCCAACTAGCTAGAGTTCAAAACTCTATTGTAAGTAACAGCCTGAAATTATTTACCTGCTTATCAACAATGTTCATCTGCTTAACAACTCTCTTACCTGCAAATTAAGTAAAAATTGTGATTCATATAGACGATAAGGGTGCAGTAGAGGCAAAAATGAAATCTTTATATATGAAACAGGCTCAAACACCACTCTAGTTCTTGAAAAAAGGAAAGCACGCACACACACAGGCGGAGCTAGAGTGCCGAGAGCAAGTTTGACCGAACTCAATAGCTTTAATTCAAACCCTGTATTTGTCTTTAAAAAATCATGGAATATGCATAAATTATCAATTTAGAACCTGATAACGCAAAAGACAATTAAAATCCTGAACCCATAAGATTGAAATCTTAGCGGGAGAGGGCAGAAAGAAAGAGGTACCTTTGCGAATTCTTGGATTCGGAGGTCCTAGTTTCTTCTTCTGGTGCTGTTGGCATCTGAAAAGATTTGCCTTTTTTGTCATGTTTGAAGCTTCTCCATTGCTTTGATTCAAAAGATTTGCCTTTTTTGCCATATTTGAAGGTTCTATATTTGCTTGGATTTGAATGCTAGGGCTTCTCTTCCTCTCCTATTGCTTTGATTGAAAAGATTCCGTCTTTGGGAAATGCTTACTGCTAGTGATAAAAATGCTCTACTGGAGAAAGGAAAAGCAACTTAAGATTCTGACCCAGACAGTCTTGGATCTAATGGATGGGGAGACAACAGAAATAAATAAGAGGGAAATGCTCGAGGAGACAGACTACGGCGGCGGCGGCGGGCGTTTTGAGGGCGAGGGCGAGGGCGAGGGCGAGGGCGAGAGCGAAAGGGAGTGTGTGAGCGGAGAGGAGTAAAAATGAAAACCGGTCAGAAAGGTAAGGGTGTATTGTGGTCCGGGTCTGGCCCGGGCCAAACGAGCCAAACGGGCTGGTTCAAGCGGGCTTGAGTTTTAGTGGTGCAAAAGTTCGTGGTGGCCGGTCCAACCCAAATAGCCCGTGAGCCTGGGACCGACACGCGGGCCTAGGTCGGTTCAAACGGGCCTAACAGGCCAAACGGGCCCAGCGACTTTTTTTTTTAAAAAGTAAAAAATTTAAAATGACCAACTGTCAGAATTTTAAAATCTAGCTGTTGGCCTTCAAAATTGATCCGTTTGACACTTTAAAAAATAGCATTTGGCCCCTAAACTTTGTTTTAATCCCAAACTTTTTATAATTATACTTTTTCTCAATTCTCAACTATAAATACTCACTTCTTTCATTTTTACTCACAAATTCATCAATCTCTCTCAATCTCTCTCTAATTTTCTTCTATAATTGCTTACTTTATTATTGCAATTCCGTGAAAAATTGTGAACTTGGTGAATTCAAGTATTCAAGTCTTTAACGATATTCAATTTTCAAGAAGTTGTTCGTCAATTCGGTAAAGTCGTTCCAACTCTTAAGTTTTAATATTATAATTTTGTTTATTTTATTTAGTATAATTATAATTAATATGATATTTTCTTTGAAAAATATTTTTGGTGGTAAGGGTAAGGAAAAATCTAAAATTGGTGAATCTAGTAGCCAAGCTACTACTCTTTCCCCGGCTCCCCGACCCAGACCTGTTACCCGTCCTCCTCCACCTATTATTCTTGATAGTGATAACCCTTGTTTTTTATTTTTCGATAGTCAATTTTGCCATGACGTTGCACCAGGTCAACAATTAAATGAAGAAGTTATGAATACTCTATATCCTAATGAAACTATCTTTGAAAATGATGAGAAAAATGATGATTTAGATGAAACGCAACCGGATTTAGATGATACACCTGTTGCGACCAAAACACTCACGCAAGTGTACGCGATCGATAAGTAATATAATAGTAAATAAAGTATCGTTCCCATGAGGAATTGTGATCAACTTCTCGACTGATGTAGACTCAAATAATTATCAATTCAAGCTATATTCTTACAAAATATTTGAAGAACCAATTTCCAACTTAATTAATAAATGCACAATAATTCAATGTAAAATTACTACACCAAGTTCACAATATATTTATAACAATTTGGGTAAATATATTCCTGGGTCATGGACTTGCTAGAAATTATGCTACTATATCAGCCTAAAATTGATTTATCGAATTATCCGGGTTATTGATTATAGGGTTAATAATATTCATAAGAATCTTTCGAATTCTTATGCATCTATTCAAGTTAAATTAATACCTATATGTCTATGGTATTAATATTAGCAAGAATGCATTTATATCTCCTATTCTTCAACCAAACAAGGCAATTAAGTATATGTCTATCTTAATTGCGAATTCTTCACCCGATGCCAGGATTCAAAACTTGTTCTATTTAATTTTATATGCAACCAAGAATTTCTTTTGTCAAGTTTAATTCAAGATCCGTAAATAATATTTTACTGTTAGCTACGCGGTAAAATAATTAAGATCAAAATCAAATAAACAACCCAATATGATAAATTCAATATATTCAATCCAAGCTTCAAATAACATAATCATCTAACATCCATGACCCAAGAATACTAGAAGTTTTAACTACTCATAATCATACTAAAATCAACAATAAAAGTCTTAAACAAAATATAAACAAGAATGAGATGAAAGTTTAAAAAAACTTGAGAAATCCTTGCTCCAAGATGAGTTTCTCCTTCACTTCTCTCCTCAAGAGTGGTCTTCCATGGTGTTTTCTCTCAAAGATGAATAGTATTTTTCCACTTGGCTCCTCAAAATCTGATCATCATTCATAATGGGACTTTTGCTTTTTGATAATTTAGTGGACTACTTTCCAAATGACCAATTAATCCCTCAATAATTGCTTTTCCGGATTGGGAGGGTTGCCAGCTTTGTGCGAGCTCGCACAGTGATCTCGCTTTTGGGAATTTGATAAAATACAAAACATGAAAGTTGTAGCCCTTTTAAATTTCTTTCCATCAATATATTATGGAGCCCAAACGGAGTTTTGAACAGAAAGTTATGACCATTTTACTAAACTCGGTTCCAACTTAGACTTCAAAGCCTCAAATTACTCAAATTCATCCCGAATTAAGCCTAAAGTTGAAAACTCTTCCTGCAAGACATAAATCATAAATTTAGTACAATTCATAATTATTTAAGCTCAAACATTAGTAAAATTTAGTAATTAAAGTGTTGTTACAACAACTAAAGCACGAGTTTTTAGCCTATGATCAACACCCCACACTTAAACCATTGCTCGTCCTCGAGCAATTAACATACATTTCACATGTTGACAACCTTTTTATCAAACAATTTATTGTAACAACACATGCTGACACTTATGTACCAATTCATAATAATTCAATCTCAAGACATTACTCACAAGTGCCACGCACTTTCATAACTTGCTTATTTGCTCTAACACAAATGTCAAAAATTCTCCTTGCCTTTACAAATCATGTGCCCTCCCACAAATAATATAGACTAGTTTCTCTCAAAATAATAATCAAGAATATTCAGGAACTCAAAATAGGAAGAATTAACTCACTCTCAGAATTGAAATTCATGTGCAACAGATGACATACCATATGCTTGCCCCTAGTGTAATACTCTACTAATTGAGCTTATTCAGTCAAGGATCAAGTGGGACTTTAATTCGTTGTAATGTAGGCTAGGAAAAAGGGTGTAAAAATATAGAATGTAGTAATTACACCTCTTTGAACACTTCCATACATACAACATATTTCAAAAATTCAGCATCATTCCTATGTTAAACCATCTCCAACCTTTTTGAGATTTTACATACTAACAACAAATTCCATTCTCTTCAAGCACCTTAGATTAGGGAATGTTACTACTGAAAATTCATCCCCTATATATACATATATGAATTATTCTTCACTCTTTTTTTGATTTTTTCTCTTTTTTTTTTATATAAACAAACCAATTTCTTCTCAACTTCTTCATCATCAAAACAACATTAAGTGCTCATGAGAGATAGAAATGCAAACAACTGATATATTTCATAAATTGGTAAGGTTTATAATGTGGGTGCCAAAGAAATAGGATTAATGGCTCAAAAGGTTTGACTAAGATATATACAATTATGTGGAAACAATTATGAAACTGGTTCAACAAAGAAATGTCTATATCATCTCCTAAACTGAATAATGCTACTATTTCGCTTTGCAAAATACTTGGGGGCAAGTTCTAGACATCAACTATTATACACAGAATATTTCAGCAATCCTTACTCACACATTGGCACACAATTTACTCAAACTTGGATCTTTCTCGACTCTCTAGTCAAAGCTGTTAAGCATAGTCATAATTATACAATTTAAGGCACTTACTTTAGAATCAAGAATTGAGATTTGAACATCACAAATAAGGCATATATCACTTTTAAAGCATGCACATTTGAGGAGAATTAACTCTTTAATTTAGGAATTTTCTATTCAATGGTCATAAAGAAAGAAGAAAAAAAATTGTATACTATACCCAGTTCAAATACACCCTTGGAAAAGAACCATGGCATAAAGAAAAACCAAGGGGGAATTACTACACTACTTACAAAGAAAATCTTTTTGTCCTTTTTCTTTAGACTTAAATCCCTCAAGAAAACTGTCTAGGAGATCCATCATCGGGAAAAGTCTATTTTTTTCGTTTCTCTAAAAAAAATATATTCAATTAAACTATAACAACTAAAATAGCATAGAAAGTCAGTCAGACAATCTCCTCACCCCACACTTAAAATTGTGCAATATCCTCAATGCACACTATAACTAGTAAGAGGCTAAAAGAGACTCCCTGGTAGGCCGAAGGCCGAAGAATTAGCAGCTCACAGGATACTTAGACTTCTCCCAGGTATGATCCTTTGTGCGGATACCCCACACTTAGTTCAACAACCTGCTCACTTTTTTTTTTATATCTCCTATTGGCTTTGACTCCATGCTCGTAGTCCTACAAAACACAAAAACAACACCACAAAGAAAGAAAATAATAATATATATAACGTAATGAAAGAAAAATAAATAAATAATAGAGAAAAAAATAGAATTGGGTTGCATCCCAACAAGCGCTTGATTTAACATCGTGGCACGACACCATCACTTTTACTACTTTTCCTTTCACTTTGAACTTATGAATTGTACCCCTAACAAGGCATCAAATCTGTCGTTATGCTTCTTTGGTGGGGCTACAAAGATAACCAGGCCAAGTAATAAATTTTTCACTCGGGAATTCTCGGTCTTTGAATGAGGAATATAATTTTTGCTTTTTGACACAACAAATTCAAGAATATAGGCACTTTCATCCTCACTCTTTGACTTCTCCATAGGCTCAGATGACTCGATTACTATCTTACTATCTAAACACAATGTGGAAAAATGATTGGAATGAGATCTAATGCACCATAATTCATGAACTTTACTACTATTTACATCCCCATTTATATACACACATAATTCTCCCAAAGTAATGTTATCTACTCCATCGCATGACTCTAGAGCACTCTTCTTAACATGGACATCCTCAAGAAAAATATGATTTAATGATTGGTATTCTCGTTTTAGCTCCTTTATTTTGTCTAGAAGATTTTTTTCAGCTTCATACAACTCATCACTAAATTTTTGGGTGTTACACGCATCAACCTTTGCACTCAAATCTGAATCCAAGTTATGCACAACCAAGCTAAAATTATTACTTTTTTGTGCAAGCCCATCTCTCTCCTTAGACCAATCTTTTATCACCGTTGTTAGTAAACAACATCGTTCCGCAGAATCCACTAATCGAGAATATCCGTCCCAATACCAACCTTTACTCCCATATTCAAATTCAGAT